TATATATATATATATATATATATACCAAAACATTATGCTGTATACCATAATTGTAGATAGCTTTTGTCAATTATAATTCAGGAAAGCTGGGAAAAAAGAAATCACTACTATACACATGTTAAACACAAATGATTTTAATTTTCCATTTCTATAAACTTTCAACCAAACAACCAGAGAAAAATGTTTAGTGTTTTCACTGAGTTAATTAAAATAATTAAAACTCTGTTTTCTCCAGGTGAGTGTTTCTATGGTTGGTTAGAGCCTTTGCTGGCCAGAATAGCCGAGAACTACACTGCTGTTGTGAGTCCAGACATTGTCTCCATAGATCTGAACACATTTGAGTTCAACAAACCATCTCCTTATGGTAGTAACCATAACCGTGGAAATTTTGACTGGAGCCTTTCATTTGGCTGGGAGTCACTTCCTGATCATGAGAAGCAGAGAAGAAAAGATGAAACCTACCCAATTAAGTAAGATGCTTGCTCTCAAGTCTTATATTCATACTATCAAGCTGTGAATTGAATTATGTATGCATTTTTAATTTTTACATTGGACTCCTCTGGGTAGTTCATACTAACAGCAACAACAAAGGAGAGCACATATTTTAAATACAGAGTACAGTGAAATAATTTGGATGTATGATATTACTGAATAGGAAGTAGAATAAAATAAGTTTTTATTTCCTCCAAATAAATAATTAAGAGACTTAAAGCATGATTAGGAGAAAATACTTATTTTCCCCTGAAAATTGACGGTTGATAACAATGTTAGTTCTTATTAATCTACAAAAAGAGTTAAAATTGTGATATCTCTTTAACTTGTAAAATTATTCAGATGTTCATGTATACTATTTTAACTTAAGTTTTTATAACAAAGTTCGATGATGGATTATTTTTCAGAACACCTACTTTTGCAGGAGGCCTTTTTTCCATATCAAAAGAATATTTTGAGTATATTGGAAGTTATGATGAAGAAATGGAAATCTGGGGAGGTGAAAATATAGAAATGTCTTTCAGAGTAAGTTTGTGGAGATTAAATGTGGACACGTTAGACAATGAAATGTATTGTCTTCTAATTTGCTGGTACAGATTATTATGAATGTATGCAATCTATGGTTTTAATTACTGGAAATTTTAGAATAAGAACGTTTCCTTTTAAATTGTGATGATATATTTGCACATGGTTACCAGTGTAACAAGAAGAATCAGTTAAACTCCTATGTCCAGGTGATCACACCAATTAATGCACTTGTAGCTATTGAATTCCAGCCAAGATAAATATAATTAAACCTAGTGCTTCAGGAAATGAGTTGATTATTGGGGGAGTCAGTATGGAAAGAAACATTTATGTGTAATTTTAAAGGATGCTTAACTCTTTGGATAAAACACACCATTTTCCAATATATTAAAAGTTATAATGACAAACAACACAAAGCCTTTGGATAATCTCACCATTCCCTAATTTGCTTGATTTCATGAGTTTATTTTTTTGTACAGTTTCATCATTCATTTTCCATCCCTTAGGATGGAATGTAGTAAAAAAAGAAATGAACTAGGAATTAGAAGATTTAAGTAGTATTGACTCTGGCACTGTCACACATTGTCAGAAATGATCTTTGTCAGGTTTGGACGGTTACGGGCAGGAGTCTTGTTTTATGAATTCAAGTATTTGCAGCCTACCTCACATGTTTGATTTCAAGCATAATTTGTTGACTTGAAATATTAGTGTGTTTCTTGTATGTTTGAAAATAGTAAAAAAAAGATGTGGTCATTTGCCCTAGTACTAGAAAATACTATTAAACATGACATTTTTTTCAGATCTTTTGCTTAGTGATTATTTATAGCAAAATCAATTATTAATTCATTTAAGTAGAAAGGTAATAATTTCATGATTTACCATTTTATTTAGAATTAATGCAGATAAGTTTTTGAACACTATCTAAATAGCCATGGATTTTTCATTATAACCAACCACTTTACAGATTTAATGGATTATATCCTAGTAGTCACATCTATAAAGAATTGTTTTCTCGATTACCAAATTGAATATATTTGAAGTAAATAGAGTCTTGTTCCACTAAACCACTAGTCCATGACTCAGAAAAGAAATCCTGTAGCTTAAGTGAAGTGATCATGTAAGTTGTATGAAATGTAAGTTAAATGTACAAGAGCCTTTGATCTTCCATGTATATTAGAAACACTTGGATAACTTTTTGCAAAAAAAAAAAAAAAAAAATTTTGAAGATTTTTCTGTTTTTGTGTAGTATTACTATTGAACCCCGGGGCTTCACACTAATCTTCATCCCCATCCCTTTTTGTATTTTTTTAAATTTGCAACAAAGTTTTACTAACTCCCTAATTTGCCCAAGCTCAGAGTTTTAATCTTCCTACCTCAGTCTCCCAGAAGACTGGGCTTACACATGTGTACCACGTTGCTGAGATTATTTTTGTGAAAAATTCAAAATCATTGTTAACTTACTTTCTGAAGATGTGCTTTTGTTATCTTTAATCTTTACATCATTTAATACAATTGTGCTTTACATTTACAAGGTGAAGTTGAATTGAAAGGGCACAGAGACTATAAAATTATAATAAATCTGTATACTTTGTTTTTATTAGTATGTTAAGGTGAATTTTTAAGCAACAATTTGATTTTTCCAAAATACTGTAAATTTAAACAAATATCATTAATTATCAGGTATGGCAATGTGGTGGGCAGTTGGAGATTATGCCTTGCTCTGTTGTTGGACATGTTTTTCGCAGCAAAAGTCCTCATTCCTTTCCAAAAGGCACTCAAGTGATTGCTCGCAACCAAGTTCGCCTTGCAGAGGTCTGGATGGATGAATACAAGGAAATATTTTATAGGAGAAATACAGAGGCAGCCAAAATTGTTAAGCAAGTAAGTTACAGCTAATTCATTAAATTAGGATAAACATCTACAGCAAGTTCACAGGTCTTTTTGCTTGAGAGACCTCAAGCACAAAACATTAAAAACATTTCATAAGCTAGGCTTTTAAAATTTTAACTCTTAAAACACATATTATGGTTTTCAGTTTTTCTGTTAAAAGGATGAGTTAAGCAATTTTTGAAAATTCAGGCATTCTACTTGATGTTATCCTCTATGTATGAAAGATATTTAAGTGTGACTGCTTTTGTTTCAACATTTTACTCAAAAAAATAAGATTAAGTAGAACTGCTTTTTTACTGATTTCAGCAAATATGATTAAACACTTAAAATTTCAAAATGGCTTTTAAAAAAGGAAATAGAGAAATAGATTGGCTGGGGATTTGGTTCAGTGATTCCGCCCACCTGCCTTGCAAGTGTAAGATCCTGAGTTCGATCCCCAGTACCAAATATATATATGATAGAGATGACAGTGTCTTAGTGTGCCATGAGAATGAGCCAGGAGTATCAAGGATTTTTTATTATTATTATTATTAAGCTGAAGTTGTGTTACTCATATGAGGTGCTAGCTTGGCAATGCCCCTTTAAGAACGTATAATGGGGATGACACGCAGAGTAGTTACCTGGTGCTTGGATGTGGAGAGTATGATTCATGTTTTGTCTTTCTTCTTCCCTGACTTCAGAGATACATGTCCTGCCTCTCTGCCAGAATAGCTGTGGAATAAGAAAGTGATAAGTGCTAACAAACATATAGTGCTTTTGTTATTATCTAGTCATAGCTACCTATTCCACCCAACAGAATCTGATGCTTAATACATTAGGACTGCGTTCTTACAGTCTTCATATTAGATGTGGTAAATTCACTAGACAGTTTAAGATTATACTTCCATAAATAGCAGCCAACTTTTTGTAGAAAATAGTGCTAGATTATTGAGTCAAAGTCATCAACATCTTAACTATTATGGTAAAGAAAGATCCTATTATCCATTGCCACATTTTCTTCGATCCTTTCATCTCCTATATCCACTACTGGGTTAGACTGCTATCTGAGGTCACTAATACAAATTAGGCCTGCCCAGAGTACTTATCCAAGCAGACACACGGACATTAAATGAAACATTTGCTCTGTTTATCACCCTCAGAGGGGCAAGGGAGCCGTCACCCACCCATTCTTACCACACAGCGCAAAGATCTACCTGGTAAAACTTCTTATGCAAGAAACCTTAGAAGTCTGATTTTGTTAAAATACAAGTTCAAACTTTGAAGTTAGCATACTATTTTCCTTAGCTGAACTGATGAGCTTGAGTATTTATGTTTTTATACATTTATCATTTTTCTCTAAAGTTTTGTTCGTCAACCAAACATCTTTTCAGTTTAATGAGTCTTTCTTTTAAAAAGAAAGTTTCCTTTGCCCTTTAAAAGAAAGGAAAATAAAAAGCAGTTAACTAAAAATTACCTCTTTCTACTGACGGTGTAGTTAGGGATGTTGTTAAAAGTAAGACTCTTAAACTAGACAAAAAATTATTCCCAACTTTGTTGTTGTGGGAATTGATTTTGTGTTCTTGATTAAGAAGAGATCTAAATTGTATTATATACTGGCATTGTTTATACATACTTTCTCACAAGTCACTTTAAAAATGACTTTTAAGTATAAAGTTAGGATCAATTTAGGATGCTCCCACTACCATTTCTGTCTCAACAACATTTCATGAGAGATCTTTATCTTGTAAGAGAAGTTTATTTGCACCAGTGCAGAACGAAATAGGTAGAGTCTTGTCAGTGCTACAAAGGTCTGCCTGAAGCCAGAAGGCAACAGGCAGCCGTACTTGTTGACTGAACAAATCATGAATGATAACAAAATGTGTCTTGCATTACTGACCCAGAACTTTATTTTTTTATACCTAAGCATAATACAAATAAGTAGCCTTTGGGATATTTTATCAGAGCTCTTTTGATTAAACATTACCTCTACTTCTCATCTTTCTCTAGAAATCATTTGGTGATCTTTCAAAAAGATTTGCAATAAAAAACCGCCTGAAGTGTAAAAATTTTACATGGTATTTGAACACTATTTATCCAGAAGTATATGTGCCAGACCTTAATCCTGTTATAGCTGGATATGTGAGTATTTTCCTTTTTTGGCTTGATATGCTCCTTGCCACCACAACTTGAATAGTTTAGGGGAAATTGCTGAGATTCTTTCTACTTTATTGCTTTTGAGATTTTATGTTATTATTATTAATACCAATCTTCTCTGAAACAGCAAGTAATCGTCTCTGGAATTCATTGAAAAAATGTACACTACATAGATTAACTTGTTTAAATAATTTCATTTTCCTTTAGATTAAAAGTGTTGGTCAGACTCTATGTCTGGATGTTGGAGAAAATAACCAAGGAGGCAAACCACTGATTTTGTACACATGTCATGGACTTGGCGGAAACCAGGTGAGCACTACATTAGAATCTTACCTCTCATTAGCATTACAAAAACAAGTAAGATATTGCAATTTTCAGAAGTTCTAAGTCAGCTTTATATTCAAGTAGCTAATGTATGAATTGTTTTCCGACTAAGCAAGACAATTGGTATTTTGTTTTAGTTTTCACTTTATCCACTCAAAGAAATAAAATGAGAAAATAATAGAATACTACCATGTGAAATTTTAAGAAAAGGCATCTTTTATATAGATCTTTGATACTGATGTAACTATTGGTGGTATGGTGGTTATATATATATATATATATTATCCACGTGCAATGTTATATACATAAAGGCCATATTTAACTATATTTAATAGTGAATTAAATCCAATATTAATACTGACATAGCTATGTTCTTTTTGGGGGCCAAGGTATTTCATTAATTTGGTCTCCCTTGAAAATATTATGTTCTTAATTCGCTTTGGTTGGTGACATCCGTCCCTGCTAGTGATAGCAAATGTTGCTCTCTGGACAGAGAATACATTAGATATTAAATTTTGGGCTTTTAGCTTCTTTTCCTTAACTTTCACAAGTGAGCTCCCCAAAGTATTAGACTGAACTTCTCTTATCTGTCATTCACTGCATTTGCTGAGTGGTCCCTGCACGGCAGATATGCTGGTGAGTTCTAGCTATTTAGATTGTAATTCCTTCAGGAGATCTGTACTTCAAGTGAAGCAGTTAAAATCAGGATGAAAACACTCATAACAAAGCATTTAGAGTGCTCTGGAGCAATAGAAAATGACATTGGAATTACATTGGGTACCCAGATATTTTTCATGGGAAGATGACATTTAAAACATTTTTTTTAAAAGAGAAGTTAAAAGCTAGAAAAGTGGCTGATGAGAATCAGAACAAAGTGAGAAGAATGTGAACCAACATATAGTAAGGAGAGGAATATGAAATGTAACTTTTCAAGGAATTGCAAATTTTAGTATGAAGTCCAAGGTGTGTATATAGGATTTTCACAATATTAAATGATCATCCTATTTTAACATGACTAGACTTTGAGAGCATCAATTTTAAAAGAAAGGTTTGGTTTATTTCATAAACTATCCTCATTTTTGTCTTCCCACTCCTAAGATTAGTTTTTAAATTATCAATAGAATCTAAATGTCTTTTAGACATTTTCAGATGGGAAAAAAAATCTCACATTTTCATGTTATTCAACAAATATTGGTTTAGAGTCTATAATTTTATTATAGTAATAAAGAAGATGAAAACAAGATGACAAGAGAAAAATACATAATTTTGTGTGTAAAAAAAATGGAATGGGGATATTTTCAAAGATTAGGGAAGATTTCTGTGGAAAGAGGAATATGTTCCAGGAAAGTAGCATCCTGAAGGAGGGATAGGGAAGGACAGAGGCCTAGTGGCCAGTTCTTGTTGCCACTGAGAGCAGAACAGTCTAGGGCAGGAGAAACAGGGAATGAAGTCAGAGACACTGATATAAAGGGCCTGGTAACATAGGGTTTTGCAAGCCCCTAAGAATGTGGCTTTCATTCTGAATTGTACAGAAGCTATTAGAGGATTTTGAGCAGGACAAGAATGCCTGGTTTATATTTTAGGATGACTCTGACATCTGTCCCCCTAGCACAGCTATTGGTTTTATTTCAGTTTATATCCTTGAAATTTTATTATCAATCAAAATTGTACTTTAAATATTTTTGCAATTTTAGTTCCTTGATAAAATTGAGATATTATGTTGAATATGTTCTCATGTTTCCTTTTAATCCAGTCATATAATGATGTTTTTACAGCAAACAATTACATTATATCACCATCAGCTAAAAAAGCCAAAAACCAAGACCAGACCAGAAGCACTACAAGCCTTTATTGTAAGCACAATCTGCTGGTCTGTTTCCAGTCAAAGGAGAGAGAGAGCTATGTGGCAGAACAGAGAACTTCTTTTACAGGACTGGGGTGGGGCTTATAGGAGCTGGGGTGGAGTTAAGTGAGGTAGTATTAAGGGATTGGAGGTGCCTGTGACATCACTTGAAGGGCCTTGCGACATCACTGGTTACTTGGAGGTAGCAAGTATCTGGTTACTTTTTGGAGGGAGAAGAGGCATCATGGGAAGAAGGCTGTCCTTTGGTAGGTGGGAGAAGCCATCTTTTTAGGTGAGAAGCAGGGCATTATGGGAAGGGGAGTAATATTCATTTTAAGCTGAGGGAAATGTAACAATTACTATTTGCTAAGTATATGCTAAGTACAATAAATATCTTGATTATGTGACTGAATTAGCTAACACACTAGTACACGGCCTTTTATGTCATTATAGCTTTAAATACTCAGTGCTTTTATTTGTCTTCAGTGGGTCTGTCCTGGCTCTAAGTTACAAGTCTTTCCAATATTCAACCAGTTAATTTTTCCAACCAATGTAGTTTCAACCACTTTCCGTTCTTTATAAGTTCCATATTAATGACATTTTTATAATAGTGAGGTAAAATACTAAACAGCCTTTCTTACCATTTCTGAGATCTTAAGGTTTGTCTTTAGTTAGGTACATTTAGAATCCTATTTTCTTTCCTCATCTAATCCCATTTTCTTCCAGTATTTCTCTGTGAAGAACTACCAGTCACAAAAATGATTGATGTTTTATTTGTGGAAGGAGGTAAATTAAGCTTGAGTCCATGACTAGGGACCAAAGATACGTGGATCTGTGTATTCTGCTAGTGTTTGCAGAACACCTGCTCTAATACATAATGAAGTACATAATGAAGACTCAGTTAATACTAGTACTAGCACAAATTACTTCATTTTTTTATTCCATCTTTATTTCATGAAAAAATAAATTTTCATGACCAAATAATAAGAGAATAACAATAGTTATTACACTGTGTATCATCTTCAAAGTAGTTACTCAGTACAAAACATAAGCCAAAAAGATTCTTACAATAAAGAAATAGATAACACAAACTTTCATTTCAACAAATGAAGATAAACTATTAGTATAAATCAAGCAAATTAATATATATTCAAATAGTATTATAACAATGGAATATGTAATCTCTAGCAGTCTTTGAATTTATCCATACTTCGTTTTTATTTCTTTTCTATTTTTACCTTTATTTGTGTGTGTTTCTCATATAAGAGAAACGATCCAATATTTGAACTTGTATATCTGACTTGTATTTCACCCGAAATAAGACATACTAATTTTTGTTCCAAAAGATGTACTAAGGATTATTTTCAAGAACTATCTTTTTCATGTACAATCTGTATTTATGTACAGCAGTCTACATGTATTCAAAGTAGTGTCATCTTCTAAAATATCATCATAACTCTCCAAACTGTAATTCCCAGCCTGAATTTCTTACAACTGTTTCCTATAGAATCATTGGTCACAATCTCTCATGTTCAGTAGTGTGAATATGCTTCAATGAGCACTTCTTGTTCACGTAGCCTGTTTGTAGTTCTCTGGTAACACAACTGTCCGTGATTTTTATTTCCCATATGATCAGTGTTTTGTTCAAAAGTCTTTACACCTGTGTTTTCAAGAGTTCCACCTATCCTCTCAACAGATTTAGTGTTTCTGTTTTAATATTTAGATCTTTGATCCGTTTTGATTTTAGTTTATTGCATGGTGACAGATGTGGGTCTAGTTTTACTCTTTGGCATGTGGAAAGCCAGTTTTCCAGCACCATTTGTTAAAGAGGCTGTCTTTCTTCCAGTGAAGGTGTTTGATGCTTTTGTTGAAGATAAGGTGGCTGAGTATGTTTGGAGTTGTTTCTGCATCTTCTACTCTGTTCCTGTTGAGCCTCAGGTTTTTGTTTTTCCCTTTGGGTTTTTTTGTTTGTTTGTTTTTTGTTTTTGTTTTGTTTTGTTTTGTTTTTGCTAGCACTATGCTAGCTTTTTACCACTGTCACTTTGTAATCAAATTTCAGATCAGGGATTGTGATGCCCCTGCCTTTGCCTTTGTTGCTCAGAATTATTTTCTATTCTATGTCTTTTCTGGCTTTTGCTATTCTAGGTCTCTCATGATTTTAGGAATGTTTTCTCTAATTCTGTGAGGTATATTATTGGTATTTTAAATGGGATTGCATTAAATCTGTATAACAATTTAGGGAGTATGGCCATTTTTACTATGTTGGTTCTTCCTACACATGAGCAAAGGCTATTTTTCCATTTTCTGATATAGTCTTTGATCTGCTTTTTTGGAGTACTGTAGATGTTTTTGAGGTAAAAATCTTTTACTTGCTTTGTTAGATTAATTCCTAAGTATTTCATTTTTTTATTCTCTTGTTAAAGACAAGTTTCCCTAATTTCTCTCTTAGTAAATTTGTTGTTTATAAGAAGGCTATTGATTTTTCAGTGTTGACTTTGTATCTAGCTATACTGCTGAATTTGGTTATTAAATGTAGAAGTTTTTGGTGGAGCTTTTGGGGTCTTCTATGTAGACTATCGTCATTGATAAATAATGATAGCTTAACAACTTCCTTTCCTATCTTTATTCTTTTAATTATTTTTCTCATTTAATTCTCCAGCTAATGTTTCTAGAACTATATTGAATAGGAGGGGCGATAGTGGATATCCTTGTCTTGTTCCTGATTTTAGACTGAAAGCTTTCAGTTTTTTGACCATTTAGTATGAAGCTAGCTGTTGGTTTTGCATAGATGGCATTTATCAGGTTGACATAAAGACAATCTCCAATTTTCTGTAGGTCTTTTTTTTTTTTAAATCATGAATGGGTGTTGGACTTTGTTAAATGCTTTTTCTGCATCTATTGAGATGATCATGTAATTTTAGTCCTAGGCTTTGTTAATATGGTGTATTACATTTATTGATTTGCATGTGTTGAACTATCCCTACATCCTGGGATGAATCCTGATCATGGTGTAAAATCTTCTTGATGATTTGTGGCATTCTGTTTGCCAGTATCTTATTGAGGATTTTTGCATGCATGTTCATTAGGGAGCTTGGCCCGTTGTTCTCTTTTTTCATTGGATCCTTTCCTGTTTTTTTTTTTT